GTGACTTTGGGTGATCAAATTATTAAAAGGTGTGAACGATTTAGATATCTTGGGTCCGTTGTCCAAAGCGATGGTGATATAGATGGGGATGTTAATAGTAGAATTCAAGTTGGTTGGTTGAAGTGGAGGAATGCTTCGGGCCTTTTGTGTGATAGAAAAGTACCGCTAAGACTGAAAGGAAAATTTTATAAGATGGTGGTGAGACCTGCAATGCTCTATGGCGCTGAATGTTGGCCTTTAAAAGAGAAGCATAATAATAAGTTAAGTGTTGACGAGATGAGAATGATTAGGTGGATGAGTGGCTTTACACTTAGAGACAAAATGCGGAATGAATATATTCGTGATAGGGTTGGTGTAGCTCCTGTGACAGACAAAATTAGAGAAAGTCGTCTTAGATGGTTTGGTCATATTAAACGTCAACCATTAGATGATCCGATTAGGAGAGTAGATGCTTTAAATTCGACTTGTGTTAAGAAAGGCAGAGGTAGACCTAGGAAGACTTGGGCTTATTGTATTAAAAATGATCTTAATTTACTAGAACTAAATGAAAATATGACACTAAATAGGACGCAATGAAGAAAAAGGATTCATGTAGCCGACCCCACGTAGTGGGATTAAGGCTTTGTTGTTGTTGTTGTTGTTGTATAGAAAGTCGGGATCATTCAACTAGCACCACATAACCCCCATAGAGAAGAACCACTGAGGTGCAATGAGAGGAGACCAAACTATCTGCTGAAGAGTGTCAAGGATGTGATGTATCAGAACAACATCGGGTCCGCCCCGATGGTGGAAAGACAACAACTTAAATGAATCGAATTGTTCCAACACTGGAGATTGCTTTCTGTTTTCTGATCTCTGGATTCCAACCCCCGGAGAAGTTTAAACTACCATCTTTGGAGTCATATAAGAGACTTTAGGATCCCAACAATCATCTTGCGTCTTTTGAATTCTCGATGTGTTTATCAAAGATCTCCAATGCATTTAAGTGCAAACTGCTCTTCACAACATTGAGATTATCTTCTCTGAGATGTTTCAACGCACAATGGGTTGGAGTATTAATTTGCTTTGTGGAATTCAAAAGGTTCTTTCTAACACATTGCACTAGTGTCGAGAGACCTAAAAAGAGAGTCAAGCCTTTATGACAATTAAGACAAGGACCTAACGAGAGCTTGCACTGGTTTATTACACATTTCTAGAGTGAAATGCTGGAGGTAAGAGATTTGAAGCAGAACATAGCACCGGTCTCTCTAACGTAGGGACCGAAATCTAAAGGTTTCTTTTTGACATCGACCTTGTGGAGCCTCAAAGCTTGGCAAATTGTTAGAGATGACTAACAAGTATCTAAAAGCATACAAAAAAGCCCTTGAGCCCTTCGATCAGAGGCACCATAAGTGACTATCAAAAATAATGGGTGGAAACCAAGAGAGAAAGTGTGACCGCTCGTCCGCCCACATTATGAAATTCATCGTCGCAACAACTCAACCCATCATCAAGGGGACCAAAGAGGACGGGCAAAGACCCATATTCGACAGTTGATCCAGCATCATGAGATGTTGGCTTAATACCACAAATGAACATGATATGATCTTGAAGTCCCTCAGAACACTCCTCTGAGGGTATTAATGGCGGAGATAGTATATGTCATCCAAGATAAGGATATTTTTAAGAAAGCAACACTGATGAGAGCCAGAGCTTTTCTCCGAGATAGCAGGAAGTATTGTAAGTATCATAGGGAGCACGACTATGACACGAAGGAGTGTAGGCACTTCTGGAACTTGATAGAGGAACTAATAAAAGAAGGAAAGTTGAAGGAATGCATCGCTCCAAAAGTCGCGATTCAAAGGCTAGGTAATGCCTCAAAGGGGAGAGCACAACACTGGACAGACCAATTTGCACCCATGTCATCCACAATTTAAGAATTGTACCTAACATATTTTGAGGTATTGAATCATCCATGTAAGTGAACCGAAAGAGGCAGCAAACTAGGGAACTCTATGCCACTACTTTCACCACAAAAATTCATCCACCAATCTCTTTCAACGATAAGGATTTAGTCTGACCTAACCCGCAATTACACAATTATTTACTGAATGATGGCAAAAAAATTGACCTAATTTATTTTTCAGAGGATAGTGTGTAAAATAAATATTTGATAAATTGATTAATGAATTACACACTAGAGGTACACACAAATATATGTATTATTTCAAGTAATATAGCGTTTTCTTTAAAAACCTTAGTATCAAACCCATAGGGAATAAGGGAATTGCTATGCTAACTTAGAAATATTTTTA